AAGCATTTTCAATATTTGTTAGAGTCAAATTGACTTTGTGTTTTACCTTGCGACCCTGCCTTTTCGACGCTTTCCGTGAAATCTTAGATTCTCTAGTATCTTGTACTTGCTTACCAAGACCCAATCTGAAACGTACAGGCACCTTTGAATCCAGGGTCGTTTCATCTGTGAAAGAAAACATAAATTATTTATATAATTCTTAATTGGAATATAAGATAATTTTGAAGCATCCTAATAAGTTGTACATTAAGTTTTAAAAATATATAGAATTGCCATAAGCATCACTAGAAGTCAATAAATGTATTAACAACTCCATTGTCTACACGAGTACTCAAGAATTGACGGTGAGCATTTTAAACGTGTATCACGAACTTAAAAAAGTACAAAGTATTAAGTTATAATGGTTTAGTGATATATAAATAACATAAAATATACAAACCTTCCGAATCATGTAACTCAGGTATTGAGCGATGAAGAACGGTTACTCTTCTAACTTCTTTTTGGCTGGCTGTAAAACAAATTTCTATGATGCTAATCTGAGAAATCTTCGCAATTATATTGAAGTAAAATTTTAATCTTGGAATCATTGTTATGAAAATTTATATTACTACATTTACTTACATTTATCATCTGCTTTAATTAAGTGTCTTTGATTTGTCTTTGCATTACTTTTAACAACTCTGAAAAACAGAATAACAAAATTAATTAATTCAGAAAGTGTAAAACAGTACAATAGCAGAAAATGCATGTAAAAAGTTATATCATTATAGTTCTTTTCTCAATGGTTAAAATTACTTACTCGTTAACGACACCCTTAAAAGCAGATTGTACTAATCTTGCAGACTGAATTGGTACTGTCCTATTTAATCTTTCCGCTCGTCTTCGACTCAGTTCAGTTCTCAAGTCGCTCTCTTCGTCAACTGTGATGTCCTCAAAAATCGCATCCATATCATCACTTGGTCCATCCGAAATAACATCTTTGCGCTTCTTACACTTCTTGTCTTTCCCAATACGTTCAGAGAGCGGAAGTTCACTTTTCAATTTTCCCACTTGATACAATTCCTTGTCGCGCTTCCTCTTCTTTTTAGACGATCTTTCCTTCTCGCCTTTCTGCGATTCTAAATCAATACACGAGTTTACGGAACTCGTGATAGCTATAGGAGAAGTATTTTCCATACTCTCTTCAAAGTCTTCGAAATCATAATGAGTATCTAAACATAAATCTGTCTCTTGAATATCATAATCTTCTGTAGCTTTATTAACTTTCCTTATATTCCCAGATTGTTGTTCCCCTTCGAGAGGTTCCGTTTTCTTACTTATATTTTCTTGTTTGCTTAATTTAATCTTCTTATTCGCGTTTACAGGATCTATAGGCCTTGCACATTCAAATTTTCTTCGTCTCGCTTCTAACACAGGGTCGCAGATGAGATCAACGGTCTCTTTCTCTGTCACAGTAGCTTTCTCCAAATTGTCCTCCTTCTGTTTAATTTTTATTCGATTTACCTCTGGGGATATTCTACTTTTCAAGGGCGGAGATGACTCCTTTGCATACAATGGACTACCAGCATTGTCTAGACTAACCGATCGCGGTCTATGCTTCCGAGATGACTCTTTAGGCGACCACCTCGGGGATCTTCTTCGTCTGGGAGAAACACGAGGAGAATTTCTTGGGGATGACCATGGCGATGTATGCGGTGATAATCTTGGAGATCTGGATCGCGGTGAAATTCTCCGTGGTGATAATTTCGGCGACAGCAAGCGAGAGAAGCCTCTTCTTGGGGAAAGCCCTGGAGATTTTGACTTCGGTGGTGTCCTCCGGGAAGGCGACATTCGTCTCGGGGATAATTTCGGTGATCTAGATCTCAACGGTGACTTAGATTGCGGAGATAATTTAAGCGGAGAGTATTTTGGAGAGCGTGATCGCGCTAATCTTGGCGACTTTATTAATGATGTTTTAGGAGAACGTATTGGTCTGGGCGATTTAGAGTGAGGAGAATGTCTCGGCGATCTTCCTCTCGAAGACGACTTCTTGATAGGTGATCTTCTTATCGGTGATCTGTTGGGTGATCTACGCGGAGATAGTCGTGGTGATCTAGAGCGTGGCGACAGTTTTGGTGAACGTGAACGCGGTGAATATCGTACTGGGGATTTTCTAGGTGATCTATACCTCGTGATTTCTCTCTGGGATTTCTTTGTCTGTTTAATAGGCGACCTTCTGGGAGAACGTCTAGGTGATTTTTTCCGTGACCGCGATCTAGGAGATAGAGATCTGCGTTTCTGTGAAATTCGATTAGTGTGCGGAGACATGGATCGTCTTTCACTTTTTAGATTTGACATTGATAGAGATGGACTGTAACACTCTTTCCTACTACTACCATCTTCCGTTCTATTCTTCTGATTTATAATCTTGGTTGCTTCTTCTTTCTTTGTAGATTCTTTGCTGCCCTTTTTATTAGCTTTCTTTTCTTTCCTTTCAGACGGTTTATCGACATTCATTTCTCGTTCCATTTCATCCATTAATCGCTCTAAACTATCCTCCTCTTCAAGATCAGCCATTAAGAGAATATCATCATCGTCATCGTTGGTATCATCTTGATCTTTCTCCGTTTTTTTCGAACTTTCTGCAACTTCTATTGGACTTTCCACCGCCGCGGAAGATGATTCAGCTTGCGCGTCACTTGTTCCACCAATCTGTTTTGTTGAATTTGTATTTATTTGATCTTTATTATCCTCATCATCTGAACCACTTCCGCTATCCTTAAAACGTTGAAATTTTGATACTTCTGAAAACATTATGGTTATATAATAAGTTTAATAAGAACAAGTACAGGAACTATAGGAATTACTGTATTTCTGTGATATACACACAATATTTTACGTACCTACTGAATGAGATTTAACACATTGTGCAACCTCATCTACTGGGCAAGCTGAATCAGTTTGTTGAAGCAGTGAATGTTCATCTACAGGAACTATTGCTATCAAGTTTGGATTTCGAGGACTTTGGTAATATAAATTCTGCAAATAAATATTTACATAAAATATCATAAATAAGTGTGGTACTAAAATGTTTATTACTGAAGAATATCAAAAATATATCATACAATAAAGAATAGTATCATTAATCTTTGTAAAAACATTATATGATNNGTAATGCATTGTAAAATATATTGAACTTATATTTCCATGTATATTTTGAGCGGAGCTTATATTAATCATAAAAAAAATTGTCTAATACAAAAATTATTAAACACTTACGCCATTCTGCCGCTTCTGCAGTTGATTAGGAAAATATCCTCTTCTTGGAGGTCGCTGACCTTTATACAATGGGCGAGAAGTTTGTGTAACTTCTGGGACAACTTTCTGTAGTTGTGACAGGGATTGCTTTTTATAATGTCCAGTATCTTTAGCTCTCAAAGACTGAAGTGCTGCTAATCGTAGTGCCTCTAAATCTTCATCATCTTCATCATCATTCTTTGTACTTTGCTACAAAGATAAAATGATATTTTGACCATACGAAGGACAAGATGACTTGAATATATTACGAAAAACATTTTTATTTAATTCTTATCAATCGTAAATGCATATATTTAATAAATCATTTGATAAGGATTTATGAAGAGAAGGATAAATATAAAAGCTAGTTTAGTAGATAATAACAAAGCATACAAATTTTTTTTAAATGAATAGATTTATTCACTTGATACTCAAATAAAAATATACTTTTTTGCTCATAATAAAAGTTTTAATGTTTTGATAACAGTAAATAATGTTCACATATAACGCCTTTTTAATATACAGTATTGAAAGACACTGTAAAAACATTCATTCACTACTCATTTTTAAATCACTGTGAAACAAATTTTATGCACAATTTCTGACAACATTATATCACACACAGAATGTACAATATTAATTCGTTAACGATAAAATATATGTACATTTTTCTGTATTGAAAAATTATATTTCTGCTTACCTTTTGGCGATAATCCATTTTACCCGAATTACAATTGTGGAAAAACTTGTAATTATCACTAACAACACAAAAATCCAGCAATTGCATTAATAACTGTATGATAATTTTGTTAATATATGATATCCCTTAGAGGCAATTACATTTTACATTGCTGCTACATTACAGAAACAAGTATTTTTTTGCTCAAGTTTTTAATAATTGTAAATTTCACGGATAATGCTGCACACTTTGTTGCCCCCCACCACAGATAAATAAAAATGGCGTAGGCATCCATAAAATCAAAGGTCCTCGAACTACAGTATCGTATAAGATGCGTAACTAATTACAAGGTGTATGATTAATATTATATTTATTTATAAATAATATTTTACACATTTTTCCAAAAGGTCATAATCCTTATACGAATTAGACAAGAATTGCTACAGTGATAACTAGTAAATAAATTTATAAAGATATTTAAGTTTGGTAAAGCAATGAACATAGTGTTTATTCACTTCATAAAAACCTGGAAGATATCGAATGTATGCATCCAAGTAGACATCCGATTGGTAGAATACAATTTAATGTAGAGGGCTTTAAATTAAGAAGAAAAAAAATTTTATGACTATTTTATTGTGTCTTAAAAGCTTGTCCATATCATTTATATTATCAAAATAGTCAAAATAGCAATAGTTTGGTTTATTATTTAATCGACTTCGATTGGTAAATTTTGCTTTGATTAGAAACTTCATTCTTATGCCGTAATCACAGATGAAGTATAGAATAGACATAAGATTCAATGTAAAATTTTGTCACATACTCTCGGGGGTATTAATACCCCTTACCATTTTCATGTTACGCCTTGTCATGTTAGCTAAGGCTGGTTTTGCATGGACGTTGATATGTTGATTATAATGTAACGAATAAATTTGTACCGTATTCAATTTACCATATTTACTACTTGTCCAACTTCGATTATTTTGTTTAATATAGTTTCCTTATTGACCATTCTCTAGGCGTAGAGGGAAGAGCAAAACTTCTAATTTTTTATACAGTCGGTAATTCAGAACATGTGACACCGAGTCCCATAAGCTTGCAATGCCTATCCTATATCTCGCCTATGGCTGTAATATTCTATAATTGCATAGCAACGCCATAATGCTATGCGGTGCTGTCGATAATGAACTTGTTTGGCGTACGTTCATTTTATTAGGTGATATTCTCATCTATAAAACAAAATTTTATGGTATAGATCGCAGCACTGTATTTCTGTTGGTGATTGATTTAAACGTACTTCCGATGTAACATTATTTCTTCATTGATAATGTTATTGATAATAATGTTACATGGAAAATATTCATGAATTACAAATAATTAATGCCACAGAATGCTTTAAGGATTAAAAACAATTATGTTTATATTGTTAACGTATACGTTAATGAAAAAGTTCAGAAAATATTATTTTTCATTTTCTCTATATACGTATATTTTGAAAGCTTTTATTAGGATTTATAATTTTTGTATGAAATAGTTTTAATACCCAAAACAGAACATTTTTCAGGACAAATTTCTTTCTATTTTAGATAAGAAATACATCTAATTATAAAAAATGCATTTTCATTCTTTCTTTCAGTCACAAATTACTACTAATCGCAGAAGTCAAGTATATTACACTAATATTTGGTACATAACGGTAATTGGGAATGTATACATTTTACATTTCTTTATAACGATACTAGTAAAATACCTTATGTGTAATATTGTATAATAAAATACTGTGTTCGCACAACCGCATAAGAGTATCTACTTAAAACAATACTATTCCTTAGTATTTTCTTGTAATAGATTGATTAATATGGTCCAAATACAACACATGTCTTCGAATACTTTATTACAATATTTTCTTATATGTAACATTCCAAATATAAAATTTAATCCTTATATAATGTTAAAACGTCATTCTGCCAATTGATAAGAAAAAAAATCTACACCATAATGTTAGTTATACATGTAAGATTAGTGTTTCACGTTTCTTACATAGGTCTAATACTTTTAAAATCCACAATGAAATAATAATTTTTGGTATAACAAATTAAAGGGAATAAGCTACCGATAAGTAAAGCTAAATAAAAAAAATTAACGATAGAATATCTAATTAGCTGGCGATATTACAATGTGCAATTTGAGCATGTCTTTATTTGGCCCTACTAAAAAAGGAGACAGAGTTTCTGACGGAGAACCCTGTTGTGGATTGAGTTCGTCAAATGGTAAGAGATCATCTAAATTAAGAACACGTTCTGTTTGACTAAATCTATGTATGACTTCGGTTACTCTTGTAATATGTTCAACACCATCTTGTAAACCATATATTAAAACACCTATTTTTACACGCATATCGGTACCGCTGTTTATAGGAGGTTCTTTGCACGTGAGCGATAATCTAACTGATCGTTTCACATGTTCTGGCATTTCCACTGTTCCTTGCCATACAATTAGAAAAAACTTTTTAAACCAGACTCCTTTGGGATATATATCTACAATCCATTCACACACACGATCACCAGCGTATTCTGCTAAACATGAATGACTTGAAAATACAAGAGTTCTAGTATGATAAGAGGGTAAACTATGAAAGTTTTGTATCGTAAGCAGCGAACTGTGAGTTTCCACAGTATACAATCTTGGTTCAAAAAGTAATGCGCCATCCTCTTCATTTAAGCATACTTCTTTGATTTTATGTAGCTGATTTGAATGGAAGGACATTCCAATCGACAAACGTTCTACAAAGAATTCTTTATACTTTTGCGTCAAAGGGGATAATAATAGTTCGGCCAATTGCCGAGGAGACATCATTGGAAATCTAACGGGGGTCATCACCGCTATTACTAGTTGTTTTAACGTAACTTCTAATTCGTCGTGTGACAATTGTGTATTCAACCGATTTGCCTGATGATCTAGCCAAGATTCCAGGCACTTGTATAATGTCATCTCATCCTTTATTACTAAACTACTTTGATGTAATAATGATACCAAAATATCTAAATCAAAGTTTCCAAAATCTGCAGTCTTAGCTACCAATTCCAAATTCCATTTAATAAAATTTTGGCATGCCTGAGTAATATTGTGATGACCGCAATTCGAAGTATATTGTAACCATGATACTAAGGTGCAATGTATGGCAGCTAGTGCAATGTGATTTTGCATATAGTCGAGGCACAGTGATATTAAATCTTTGACATTATACTTATCTGCTAAAGATAATATGGGTAGAACAACTCCATAATTAATTTTTATTTGACCAGTGTAAAAATATCGCAAAAATTCACTAAATATAGGTGCACATTGCGGTGTCTCTTGGAGAGTTACTCTACTTTCTTGAGATTCACTCCATTGTGGACTCATCAACATTACCTATATTAAAAAACAATACATTTATATAAAAAAAAAACTTCATGCGAATATATATTATTATTGCAATACATGTGAGATGTTAAGGCACGCTTACTTGGAAAACATCACTAGAAGCACAAAGTATAAGGCGATGTGCTGGATATTCAATACCATCCACAACAAGACAAATATCGTTCATAAGACGTTCAGCATATAGCGTTGCTATTTTCAATAGCACCGTACGCGAATTATCAACCTAAATAACAAAATAATTACGTTAACTGTTTTTTCAAAAATTAAAGCTTGCCAGAAACATTATAATAACCTCTATCGAATCTGAATTTTCTGATTCTTCAACATTATTTGATATATTAGTTTTTTCTTCTGTTTCTTTATTTGTATCCATTCTAGAAAAACCTGTCATCCACCTGAAAGTACTTCGTAGCATCTGCACATGTTTCCCTTGCCTGTTTCTGTTGTTATTTACTTTTTTCCACCATTGTGTATATTGTCCAATGACAAAAGAAACTTCATGTTTTTCTTTAAAGATATGATTTTTATAACAGAACAACTATAAGTAAAAAAAATGGAAATATATAATAACAATGTTATTTACTTGTTAATGAACAGTTGTTAATACAAAAGGATGTTATAACAAAAGGAAAAGCAATGCAATAATTGCTATGTGACATAAATATACAAATACACATAATACATTTAAATAAGGTAATAAATATGCTTAAAGAAAATTGAATAATTACTATGAAAATATTAATTATTTATTTCCTTTTTTATAACATAATTAAAAGTCATACAAAGAATAAGATAAATATAGTAATACTTTCTTTAAATTAAAAAAACAATATAATAGACCTAATAATATGACAGTTTTATATTACATAACAACACTATATAAAACAATTACCAATAAATAATAGTTTGATAAACATTGCTTATTATAATTATATGAAAAAATTTTACCGAGTAATGTGAAATACGATGAAATAAGTAAGTTGTAATGTTACTCTTGTCACGTAATGTTTTCTATTTAGTCACAGATATGTAAGGTGTTTATTTTATATACTGAATATTGACTTTTCTTAGCGTATCATTTATATTAATACAATTTTTACTTTTTATAAAACATTTATGCTGCGCAATGTTATATCGTCTTTAAATAAAAACTGGACTGATTTGAAAGTCAATTGTATAAGTATACATACTAAGTGTGGTAGGTATGATAAAAGTGAGCGCTGTTATCTCTAGCGGGAAATTTCAAACTTGGTTTTGTATATCAAATAAATACTTTGCATAAAAATAATATACGAATGAAAGAACATTTAACATACCGTTAACTATTAGCATTAAAAAGAAGTAAATTCAACCAATAGAACATAATGCTGTAAGGACGTTGATATAAATAGAAAACAGACACATAGAATTACTAATAAATGTTATAAAAGTTTATTATACTATTTACACTTTGTCACTTCAGAAGAATACTTCTACAGACTATTATACATTATTTGATTCAATGCTGAAAAAATTTATACAATTAGAATGTATGATACCTGATTA